TTTGCATAACTCTTACATGAAGTACTGAAATATATAACAGATCATAAAACTACAATAGTGTACTGTACAGAACAATCAGCAAAAATTATAGTACTGTATAAACAAGTGTACGGCACAAAAAAGACATTGAGGTTCTATAAACAAGATGTGCAGAACTGTACAAAAAAAGATGGTTTATAACTCCAAACAGCACACCTCGGTCATAAAGCCAAACAGTCATTAGGTCGTTAAACGAGGAATATCTGTAGACACTTTCCTGTCACTAGGACAAAATACCTGACACCTGCAACTTAAAAGAGGAGAAGTTTATTTTTGGTTCATAGTTTCCATGGTTTGAGTCCATCTGCTAGCTCCAAGGCAGAGAACACATGGTAGAATGGCCTGGCAGAGAAAAGCTACTCAGGCTATGGTGGCCAGAAAGCAGAGAGTGAGAGAGAAAAAAAGGGGCTGGGGGCAAAAATATGCCCTTCCAGGTCATGTCCCCAGTGACCCACTTCCTCTGACCAGGCCCCACCCCCTAACAGCACATTCCGCTATGAACTCAGTAGTAGATTAACCCATTTATAAGTATAGTAATGCCATAATCCAAGCACCTTCCAAACACATGAGACTTTCGGGGTACATTTTAGATCCATACTATAATAGCTTCCTCTGTTTTCCCCATAACAAATCTCTCATTTTTTAACTTTTCCCATGCACTCTACTATCTTATAGCATCTGATATCACCTCCTACTTCCATGAGAAAACACATTTTTAGTTGGGAAGTACTTTAACTTCCAGCCCTCTCCAATGGCGCACTGAACTATAGGTCCACTCAACTCACCTTTTCCCCCAGTCTCAGGATAAGCCATCCTTCTAGACCAAGATCAAACTCCCTCATTCCCACCTTCACTCTTGATCTGACCTCTCCTATAAGATCCACATTGGAATTATACAATTATACAATTTTCTGCTGCTTTTCCATTTATGACTTTAAATTCAACATTTCTCAAACTGAACTTTTAAAATCCTTAATCCTGTTCTTCCTCTTGAATTTATTATCTCAATTAGGGACAGCACCATTCAACAAGGTATGCAATCTAGAAAACCCACTAACCTTGATTTCTTCACTTTCCCTTACCTGGTACATCCAATAAATGTCTTAAATCAGCTTTCTTTCCTGTATGCCTCTGGAATCAGTGTCCACTTTAAGATCCTCACCATCTCTTCACTTAGATTGCTGGTATCTTTTAATGAGTTTACTTTTCTGAAGATCATCCAACAGACATTGGAGCTTGATAACTCTGGCTAGTGAGTCTCCTTCTCTTTCCAAATCTGTGTTCCACAATGCATATTAGCAGCTTGAAATTGGCATAGAGGGAGTATTTATACCACAGAAATCAGCAAATACTACAGATAAGGATCTTTTCTTTTCCTCCTGTGGAGAGCTGTTTGTTGAAAACCTTTACCAGTAAAATTACCACTACCTATTTCCCACACTTTGGCCAAGGCGACCTTTGTATGACACTTATTAAACTAAACTATACCACTCTTCTTAATAAACCTTTTGGTGGCTCCCAACAGCCAATAAATAATATCTAAGATTCTTAATGGCATATAAGGCCTTTTATCATCTAGTCTCTTCCTAAATGTCTAGCTGCTCCCATCCTTCCTTAGTCACAATTTATCCCTAGCACAAGGGTCACAAGCTAGTTGAATCAAGTCAAATTTGCCTCATATATATACTTTGTTTGGTGTATGCACTACCTTTAAATCTTTTAAGCTAATAAAAGATTCTAAAAGAAACTTTTATTCTAACTGTAAATCCTTATTTCTGACTTCTTTTGAAATATTACAACATTGAGCCCTCTTTCATACTTATTATAACAACAATTTGCAGTAGCTGCTCCCTTTGAGAAGGACTCACATTATCGGTTCCCACCATTCATTTATTCAAATTAGGCATACACACCTATACCTAGTTTCTATTACCTGTTACCTGATTGGATCCTTTACAAATGATGTCATAAAGTCTAGATTATTATCCAAAGCCATGGATTTTCATTATAGAACTCTTCTTTGCACTGGCTATCCTGATGATGTACAGTCCCTGCATAGTCTTGCAAGGAAAAGCAGCAGAATGATGAACAGAAATGGTAGGAGTAGTAGACATCTGTGGTCTATGGATCAGTCTCCATGTCAAAGCAATGACAGACAAGATCTGTCTATGAGACCTTGGGGTAGTTTAATATAGAGCCAGTCTGTTAACTCTCCATGGAATCTTGAGATGTCTACCTTTTTAGTTGGACTTGGGAAGTAAAGGCCAGGAGAAATTTATTCATATTGATCCAAATTGTGGGAATGGGGTTTGTCTAAATTTGATAATAGATTTACTTTTTTTGCTAAGTGCCTGCTGTGTGTGTACCACTGTGCTTGATGCTATAGTGGAAATAAGCTGAATAGGACAGCTCCACCTTTAGGACAGAACCACCTATCCTATTACGGAGGCAAGAAGTACATGTGTGAAATAATTAGAGAATAATGTAAAGTGGCATTGGAAAAGTGATTGTTTTGAATGTAACCTAGTGCCCTCAGTATTTGGGTGGGCAGCAAGGGATGGGTGAAGAGTAGAAGCTACTAAAGAAGCTAGATCTTTCAGTGTGCTTTGACTGGCAAAGAAATGGGGCTAGACCATTCTCCACAGAGGGTTCCACAAGGATATACTTATGGAGAGCAGTGAATGAGGTGAGTGTAGAAACCTGTGAATGACAACACTGACTGGAGGAGAAAAGGCAGTCAGCGTGGGAGGACATGGCTGGTCAGTGAAGACCAGTTTTCTTTTTAAAAGATTTCCTTTGTGATGTCAAGTACTCGGCCAAATGGAGAAACAGAATGCTCCTTGTTGGACAATGGATGTAGATAGCTCTGGAAAGCATTTCATAATCTAGGTGTAGACAGCAACATTTTGGCTCTAAAACACAAACGAGACTAAGTAATATTCATGGGTATTTCTGTGTGTCTTGGACATGCCTGACAGCATCTACATAAAAGAAAATAAGAAAGGAAAAGAGTAAGAAAAGTAGAAAAAGGCAAGTGAGAGGAGAGAAACAGAGGACAAAGAATGAGCAGCATGGAGGAAGCAGACAGTACCTCCAATCTAACCCAGGAAGCCTGTGCTACAGAGTATCTTTCTCCAACACTTTTAGACAGTGACAGAGATTCAGGAATGCCTCTCCCCAAAGAAAGGACAGATTTCCCAGATCTGAGTTCTTTCCTTTCTGGGACAGACTGTGACAAATTGTTCACTTACAATCTCTCTCAATTCTAGGCTTTATGCTGATTGTGTTTATGTTCATTTCCAGGCCCATTCAGACCTACTTCTTCCTTAGCCTGTAAGTTTATGTTAATTTCTGAGATTATTCTTTCACGTGCCCGATTTACTTTATGAGCCAAGTTGCTCATTTCCTGCTGTTTTGTTTGTAGCTGCTCCCTCTAAATGTTTAACATTGTTTACTCGCTGCTCCATCCTAGCCATCGATGACCAATATGCAGCCAGTTTTCAACTCTTCAGAGGCTGATTCAACCTCTCAGGGAAGGAAACAGGTTTCTTGCAAATTCTTGCTCCTCTACTTTTTTCCCCACACTCTGTTTTCTGGCTACTTCACTTTAGGGAATCCCTCATGCCACGTGAAAAGGAGGCAAAAATGATGAAACATAGTAACTCATCCTATTGTCAGATGGGCAGTAATGATGAGTTATGTTTTAAAGAGGTTTAGAGAGTAAAAGAAAGATGATATTGATTAAAAAAATATTTGTCTATTTTGTGAGAATTTCAATATTCATGTTCTGTTCTCCCCAGTTAAAATGAGTATTAGAAACTGGTTTTTTATTTTCCTTAAATGTAGTAAGATCAGTATTCCTCAGCCTTCTGGAATCTAACGCAGCTCTGCCCCTACATAAATAAAGTTCTTTATTATTATAGCCTTCCCCATACTATACCTCTGGATCTTACTAAAGCTTAGACTTCTCTGTGTGTCTAATGTGCTCAGTTTTGTTATTAGTCTGAAAACAGACTGGGTCCCAAATTATCTACATTTTAAGTTTGAAAAAATTTTTAAAGTTCATTGAAAAGCTCAGGAGTGCACCTGAATACCTAAAGAACGTCCCACACCTTTCACCTATAGCTGCTATTTACACTAAACATTATATAACAGACATAATATTTTTATCAAAGAACTTCTTGGTATTATTAACTCATCCATAAGATCAGAAGTCCTCATTTACAGAGTAATTATCCCTGATCAAAAAAATTATCTTTACCTTCCTAGGACCTAGAGGAATTTGAATGAATTCTGTCTGGCCATAGTCTTTGGTCCTCTGAACTCCCTTATACAGTACAAGAGTCTTCTCTTCAGATACCAGGGTTTAATTTAGTTATACAGTCTTTAGGATGGTTGATGGGCTGTTTTCAACCTTTCAAACAAATATTCTTGCAGTCTCTAGAGCTCATTTGAAACTGAACACATACTACTAAGTACTGGTACTAACCTTATAAAAGTTGATCTATCCAACTAAACTCTAAAAGGTTAGGACACTCGATAACTTAGTCTCCTCTATTTTGTCTTAGACAGAACGGGGCATGTTATAGTAAGATAATTTAAGAGTCAAGCTCTAGAGTCATACATAATGGGTTTGCATCTTGGCTGTGCTACTGAAAACTACATAACTTTGGTTATGTTCTTTAATCTCTCTATGTCTCAGCTCCTCCATATGAAGAGAATATTTATCTCACAAGTTTTTTGTGTGCATTAAATAAATTAATCCACAAAAAGTGCTTAGAACAGTGCCTGGAACACAGTAAGCATTCCACAAACATTAGCAATTCTGGTAAGAAGTGGCAACAAAACGGAGACCCCAGGTCCTGAATTCTATGATCAGTTCTATGATGAATTCTATGATCCTTCTCTCTCCAAATTTTAATTCTGCCCTTCTGTGCTTCTCATTTCTTGTACATACCTAGGTCCCCACACTAATGATGGAGACCCCATTCTCTGAGTTCACACCGGACATCACTCCCATCATGCTGGCTGCCCACACTAACAACTATGAAATCATCAAATTGCTTGTCCAAAAACGAGTCACTATCCCTCGGCCTCACCAGATCCGCTGCAACTGTGTGGAGTGTGTGTCCAGTTCAGAGGTAGACAGCCTGCGCCACTCCCGCTCCAGACTGAACATCTATAAGGCTCTGGCAAGCCCTTCACTCATTGCCTTATCAAGCGAAGACCCCATCCTAACTGCCTTCCGCCTGGGCTGGGAGCTGAAGGAGCTCAGCAAGGTGGAGAATGAGTTCAAGGCTGAGTATGAAGAGCTCTCTCAGCAATGCAAGCTCTTTGCCAAAGACCTGCTGGACCAAGCTCGGAGCTCCCGAGAACTGGAGATCATCCTCAACCATAGAGATGACCACAGTGAAGAGCTTGATGCCCAAAAGTACCATGACCTTGCCAAGCTGAAAGTGGCAATCAAATACCACCAGAAAGAGGTAAGTTGAAATCATCTGCTTTCCAGGCAGCTTAGGGCCACCAGAGTCCAGAGAAGGAAAGCAAGAGACAGCATTTTTCTACCGCTTAAACTTCTAATAGATAGTTAGACAAGCCTCATAAACGAGCTCATTTATCCAAGACACAGGCAACCTTTGGTGTTTTCTCTACCAGTAGAAAAGTAGCCACATTATTCTTTGATGGGAAAGCATTCGTTCATTCATGTTTAGGATAGAGAAGACAAGCACTAGCCCTGGAACATACAAGCTAGTGGTGAATACTAAAGAAATGATCACTTTACTGAAGATATGATTACAAACTAAGGTAAGTATTCCATAGGAACAGTGTTCTATGATAGCAAAGGATTTTACCCTATATACTGGGCCATAGAGACAGTGATGAAAAAAGGCTTACCATATACATGCTGGTGACTGTTGGTATAGTGGTGTCCCAGGCAGCCCTTTTAGAAGGAAGACTGAGATAAACATTTGAAAGACGGTGTCTTACTCAATATTTGTAGTTCCGTAGAAGGGTGAAGTAACAATCTACTACGGTGTGAGGTGTGACCTCCAAACACAAGGTCCACCTCTTTGAAGGAGCCACTTCAAACAGATCACAGGAGAGGGCTTGGCTTTCCAGCTAAACCAGATTTAAAATCTAGTAAGTTCTGTTTCATGCTATCTTATCAAACAATTCTGGAGAGACTCCTAGAAAATCTAATTTCTATCTTTAAGGAGGCACCATAGTACTTCAGAAAGAGCGGGGGCTAAGGAGTCAGGGCAACTGAAGATGGAATTCCAACCCACTAGCTGTGTGACCTGAGAAAAGTCACTCAAATTGCCAGGGATTTAATTTCTCATTTATGAAATGGAGTTAATAATAATTTCTCCACTTCATATGGCCATTATGGGAAATGAGAAAAGCTAGTATTCAATGCATGGCATGGGAAATGCTTCAATTTACATTTCCATATCTCTTCTCTTCTACCTTGAGTCAGATTCAAACAGATGGGACTGAGAGATGCCTGCCAACTGAAGGCTATCTCTACCACTGCCATCCTTTCATAGATAAAGGCTCTGAGGCAAATCACATTTTATTTTATGTATGTTCACCTGGTGGGGAACAGATAGATAGATAGATAGATAGATAGATAGATAGATAGTAGATAGAGATAGAGAGGTATATTGCCTCTATGACCTGAATCCATTCAAAACATTTACCTTTCATGGTCACTTTGACTTTGAATAAGACCCAGAAGTCACATGGTACCAGATTCAGTGAATAAGGTGAATAAGGACACACAGTAATGTTTTTACAAGCCTGTCTTTTTGTTGGATGACACAGCAGCAGCATTCACCATATTTTTTATCATACCTCATAGAGACACTCATGAAAGAGGACTTCCAGAACTTCTTCAGAAAGTGGCAGAATGATGGTATATGTGTTTGAAGTGAGGAGGAGTATTTTTAAGGGAATTAATGCAATGTGTTTTTATTGTAATAATTTTAAAAATTTGAACATTCACCATATATTTTGATCACACATTATATATTTGCATTAATGATATATATTAGTTTCAGTGTTTTTTTCATTTTACATAAATGGGTATAATACTGTGTGAAAAAAATCACAGGTGTTTTTATAACCTGAATGTTAGCTAAGTAACAGAATGGTTAATGGATAACAGAATAATTTTAAAGATATATTATAGAACATGACTGAATTTTGCATTCCTCACTCACTTGGATATGACAGCTTTAGGCTTCCCATACCACCATGAAAATTGTCAAGCATTTATTTTCAAACAATTTCATCGCAATGATTCATTGATTTTTGTCAGATAATCTTCCAACTATTTTATGTCTGAACCTGTTCTGCTCATATAAACTTCAATTGCCACTTTTAGCTACTGTTCCATTTGGAAATCACCTTGATGACTTTTTTACTCCTATGGGGATCTGTGTGGCATATGGCCATGCAATCACCTTTGGCTTCTATTTAACTGCCCTCCACCCATCATTAACCTTCACATCAGTTTTGCTCTTTTAGTCCTTTCACTGTCCTGAAAATATACCCTCTGTGTTCCTCATTTCATAATTTTTCTTATTACTACTATTATACAGTATTTTCATGTTACAATATGGTCATACAATATATTTCTTACCCATCATTATACCAACCTGAAGGTGCCAAGGAGGTACATTTCTTTTTACTTTCAAAATTATGCATCAGAGATGCCAACATTGTTTCCTGGGGCCATTTGCTGAACACATTAAAGTGGAAGGTGTCATTTTTATTGTGGTAAAAGACATATCATTTAAAATTTGCTATTTTAGCCATTTTTATATTTATAGCTCAATAGCATTAAATACATTCATGTGCAGCCATCATCACTAGGATTCAGTTTTGAAGATACATAAGATTTGGGGAGTCTACCTTTCTTTCAATAATGAACTGATTTAATCAGTTTTGTATTTTGCAGAACACATTATTTTTGTAAGACTGGCAAAGGATCACCTCCTCACTATTCAAAATTATGGATATTCATCAGTAATACAAAATCAATGCAAGAAGACTGTATTTATGCAAAGATCAACAAATTTTCAGCTTAATTCTATTCACTGATCATTGTAAATCAAATCAATGATAACCCTTGCATTTAATAATTGATGGAAACTTTTCAGGCAGAGCACACTAAACTCCTGAGTCCAGATTTGCAACAAGGATAATGTGTGACTCTTAACTTCAATGAGAATATTTCCTAATGAGGAATATAGTTTTATAGTCTCATAAATCCAAATATAGCTCAAAGTTTAATGCCCTAGACAGAGACTTCAGAATCATTTTGAGACTTATCTATTTTGCTTCAAATTTTCAAAGATAACTTGTTCGATTTTAGTTTAGTTTATCATCAAACTAGGCTATGCTGATTAGCAAGTCAGACTTATGAATTCAGACGTATCTTAAATTTTGTAGTTTAAGGATATTGCTTTGGTTAAGTAGTCATCAAACTCTATAAATCCCTTCTGACTTGTAGCTTCATTTCCACTAAAAACTAATGCTTCTCAATCTGTAAATTATACTTGGTTTTTCAAATCTCATATTCTACTGAGCCTCAAATGAGTACAGCCTCTTATTTCTCTTGGTCCAATCCATATATCTAGTTTAAGGATGAATAATCACATTTTCTTGAACAAATCAGCAATGTCCTTGTTTGGGGTGTTCTTGTAATCTTTTTTTCCCATTAAGTTTATTGGTACATTTTAGGTATAAAACACAGTTACAAACATCACTGGGATCTTGTACCATTACATGAGTATCTTGGTTCTTTTATTTTTCCCCTTGCCCTGCCCTCCCTTCACCCCCTCCACCCTTCCCTATTTGCAAAGACTTTGTTTCCATTTTTTTCCTTTTCTCATATTTTTTCTT